CCTCTCACAATCTACTGGTACGTACGTACCTTAGCTTCGATGTAACCAAAACCATGTAAGCTCTTGATGACGTTTTTGACTTCTTCGTGGTCAAGATCGTGATCGACGGCGAATTCACCTGAATGTGGGATCTCATCGTTGTTCTTCAGAAACCCTAGAATCGCCTCCTCCGCCATTTCTCTTCTCGCGCACTCAATCACTACAACTTCCATTTCACAAACTTTTTCTCGTTTAAATAGGACGTCGGACCATTTGATTCTTAAAGGCCCATATTTGAAATATCAATATTTAAAAAAAAAAAACTGTTGATTTCATAATAAAATGGAAACAATAAAATAAGGTAAATTAAGAAAAGTAAAAGCCATATATTAACTTAATTTCTATAATAAATTTCTAAATTTAAAATAAAAATAAAAAATGCGAGATTTTCAAACAGTTAGAAATATCCTACTATGTTAATTGAGAAGTCAATTTAGTGATTTTTGATTAGATGTCACTTATAATTGAAGTTTACAATTAATTATTTTAATTTGATTGATTGATTGTATTTCAATTTTGATTTATCTAATTAATTTTTTTAAAAGGAAGCTAATCCTAGAATTATTTTATCTAATATATGTTACCAATCAAACAATTAGACATCTTTATTATAGATAACTTAACATAATTTATTTATATAAGTAATTAAATATCATAGATTACATTGTATAATTTATAATACAAATATAAATACATATGATGCTACAAAAAACAATTATATAAATGGTTTGAAATATATGTATATTAATAGTAGCTACAATAAATAACAGATATCATAAAATTAAATAATCTAGACCTTATAATATTTCAACTCAATATATATATATATATGAAAAATATTCAAATATATAATTTTAAAAATTTCTAGTAATTTTTAATGAAAAAGTGATATTATAGTTGAGGTATCACTTTAAAAAATAGTTAAATCCTACTATATATTAAATCCTACATATTAATTGAAAAATTAATGATATGTAATTCATAGAATAATTTTTCAGTTAATTTTTTTTTAATTTGATTGGTTGATAGTTTTTATTTATTTTTGATTTACTTAATTCAGTTTCAAAAACTAAATCAATATCTAACTTATATCAATAACCAAACAAATTATATTTAACATAAATAATAATCACACATATGTATTTAAGAAAATTCTGTTATCAGTGCTCGTATTTGTGTCATAAATTAGTTTGCGTTTAAGAAACTTAAAAATTTAAATGATTTTATAAAAAAAAATGAGATTGTAAAATTTTCTTTGTATGTTATATATTAGTGTATGATCTTATAAGTAGTTTATTTTTATAAGTATCACATCGGTAAATTTTTCACAAATTTATTCAAAGGTAAAGTAAAAAAATTGTGTTCCGTTTCTTATTATTCAAGTAGATGATGTTAACAAAGGGTAATAAGTAGAAAATTTTCTGTTTGGATAGCAAAGATTTTCTGTAACTATATCAAAATATGTTTGTGGAATCAATTCTCTTCTTGGATTTACGGAATCGAGAGACCGTACTCCATCCATCAGTACGAAACTTGCAAGAGTACTTACTCCAAAGCCATAAAAGAAAAGACTTCTTCTTGTTACCCGTCGTGTAACAATCTTGATCACCAACTCGTACGTTTCTTCCCATGGAAGAAGAGATGCGAATAGGACTATTCTCTAAACATTTTCTGTAAGCTTCAAGAAAAGGGTCAACGTCTTTCTTTCTAAAACTTGACAAACCAGACCTTGAAGTCTTGACCATGTTGGAAGGCGTGAAAGGACAGACAGCGAGAGGACTCTGTAACACTTCGTAACCATATTCAGCATGAGGGCATGGAGGTGGCGTAAGCGTCCATTGTAGCTGATCACGGCCGCTTCCGTTCTTCTTTCTTGAAACTCCAGGTTTTAGTTCCCATGAGAAGGGGACTTTGGCTTTAGAAGTTTGATCCAACTCATGGTGGTTTGGACTAAACATGAGACTCTTTACGTACGTGTGGTCTTTGTTGGATTATAAGTGTGTCTTCATTTGAGATATGGTGGTGTGTGTGTGTATATATACCAAAAATTTATTTCGTAAAATCTGATTTGATGTGTGTATATACACCTAAGTTTTGATTAATATATAGTTGGAATGATAGCATCGTTTAGGACTCGCTTGGCTATGTATATAACCGCCTATTTTGTTGATATATATTAACAATATCATTTGTCTGTCTTGTACGTATCTAACGCAATACATCTAACCGAAATTACGCATAATGTTTTGCATATTGTAATAATTTATAGAATGAATACAAGTTTTCCCGTCCATGACATAAGACATCTATAATTGAACGCATATGTTGGCATCTGTATAAATATATTAATTATTCTGTTCAATTTTCATAAATAAGTTGATATCAGATTATTTAAAAGTAAGCAATAATCAACGATTGGACAAAAAGGAAAAAAGAATTACAACAAAAATTCGAGGTATACACGCTTCAAAAGAAGTATAATAATGAAAAAAAACACGTGAACGGCAGGATTCGAACCTGCGCGGGCAAAGCCCACATGATTTCTAGTCATGCCCGATAACCACTCCGGCACGTCCACCTTTTGCTTTAAGTGGAAATATATATAAGTATGTAAGACCCTAACAGGTATATTGCAACGCCTGAACTCTGCAAGATATGTAAATGGGCAAGACTCCATTTATGAGTAATGAATGTTTGTGTTTTAAAAAAAAATGTAAATGGGCAAGTATTAGGACAATACTTATATGCCAAGTAACAACTCAAGCTCCTAGAATTGTAGAAAAAAAAATTAATTTATGTACAAAGGAGAACGTATGAGAAGTCACTGCATGTAAAGCGAAGAACATGGATTGAGAAGAGACATACATTATTGAATTTATTTAAACGTAATACGTATATTCTCCTAAGCAAACATACATTATTTCTCTAATTGTTTTGTTTCATAACAAGAAACTCAACAAATAGTGAACAGATCACCTTAAGAGAGACAACAAAGTTTCTAAAAGAAACAACAACAAAAGCAAGTTTAAGGAGAAACAAAATCATCCAGATGAAATGTGACACTATTAGTTCTTTAATGGTCAAAATCATCCAGAGAGATTGAAAACTGTTTCTCTTCTTTTTCTTTTCAAGCAGCCTCAACTCTGTCCTTAGTGGCATTATCCCCTCCTTCAAGCTGACTCAAATTTCCTTTCTCCTTGATCAGCTGAATATGATGATGCTTGCAATAAAGCTTCCCCTCGTGAGCAATGTAATTCGAAGGACTTATCGTGCATCCTCCATGTGTACACTTGAAGCAGCTCTTGTGGTACAATGTCCCATTCACCGACACCTTCATAGAATCCACATAACAAGTAGTAATATTCAAGTTACACATGTTTTACAATATATTATAATGTTTTTGGCTATGGTTTACGCATTTGATTTTGAATAATAAAGGTTTTGGATTGTATATACCTTCTCAATTGGATACACGGTTTTGTCACAGCCAACGCATTTTTCTCGTGTTCCACCAAACATATTAGACACTTTGGTACCAGCAGGTCTCTGTTAATAAAAGATCTCTCAAGTTAACTGATTAATGACAAGAACATAACAAAAAAAAAAACACAATCAAGAAAAGGTTGCTGTCTGAAACTACCTCTCCCTCCAAAGGCCTATCCGGTTTTCCGATCTTTGGTGTCCCTAAAACATACAAATAAAAACTTGAAGATTCATATTTTCAAGTTTAAAAATTCCACAAAGTTAAAACACATATGATACGTTTCTTACCTTCAAAGCTTTTCTCAAGACTTCCCGTTCTCTTGAAGTTCTGATCGAAATGTGGTCTGCAATAAAGAACTCCTTCAAAGGAGTTGTAGTTGCTAAGCTGTTTCATCAACAAGAAAAATCATTAAACCAGTCAAAGATTCATCTGTCACAGTCTTACACATAAATTAAATGAAAAGCTCTACTTAGTAAATTCATCTGCTAGATCTACCTCTGGTATTTATCAAGAAATCATCACAAAATGTTAAGAAGAAGAACTCAAACCTTGAGAGTTCCTTTGCAATGGTGACAACGGAAACATGCTTTGTGGTAGACCCGATTATCTGCGGTTAACTTGTCGACGAGATAAACGGTTTTGTCACAGGCCATGCATTTCTGTGTTGTTCCTGCGAACGCCATTTCTGTGTTATGTTTCTTGTAAGAAATCAGACCAAGAGTCAGAACAAGAAGAAGAAGAAGAACAGAGCTTGATGTTCTTGAGAGAAGAGATAAAGATGAAAGATAGAGACTTGTCAATTATTGTTGTTTGTTTTTTTTTGTCAATATTGGGGACCAGATATATTGAAAACGAACATGTTATCTCTTCTTTTTTATTTGTATTTAAAAGTAAAAATTCACTTAATAAAAAGTTTGATAAATTTGAAATTTTTAGCAAAAAATTCCAAGTTCCAGTTTAGTTGTGGCAGAAAGTCTTTGTATTCAGAATGTGATTTAAAAATTAAACAACCATAACATGGAAATATATTAGCTACACAATTTGGAATTTTTCTATTTCAAATTTGAATATTTGTATGTTTCCTTATAACGTCAGCATTGTTTTTGTCACTGACTAATCCAAACAAGATAAATGTTCAATAAATAAAAATTTGTACTGTAATGATAATTGAATAACAAAAAAGTTAAACGGTGTTTTCTTTATCTTTAATGATTTTGGTCCAAATCTGTCTCCTAGATATTTTCAACATTAACGCAGTGACCTTAACTCTATTTTAGGTAGATACATGCAAATGCAATGGTTTGAGACAATGACAATCCTTTAACATTTGAATAATGCTTAACTAAGTGACTGTAATATTAATTTTTCTTTCTTGGGGTAAGGTAAGGAACACAAAAAGGGTAAACAACTGGTAAGGATCTTTGTCTGGTTTTAGATATTGATTAAAAGCTGTATTTGTTATGGTGGATTTGGAAATCTGTGTGTGTTTATGTATTGAAATACCTGAGACATGCTTTACCCTAAAGTGTTTTGATGAGCTGTATCATTGACATAATAGGTTGGAAGAAAATGAGTGATCATAATGATATTGATACCTACCACCAATTATTTGATCATAACCCCTCAGATTTATGAGCCTTTCCTTTTTGCCTGCATGGGCTTCCCCTTAAACACTCGTAAATAAAATGCGTTGTTTTTGATTCCTGGAAGAGGATTGGTGTCACTGAAGCGCTTCTGCATCCTTGCATAGCGCCTATGTTCTCATCCACAGCTGTTGGATTTAAGATTCTTGCAGATAAATTTGGCAATGTTGTTCACTTTTGCGAGCGTGACTCATCCAGGTATCATTTCTAGTATTTTTATATTGGTCTACTAAGAACACAAGAAAAACTGTCCACTTAAAAATGTTGGTAAGTTCTGTAAATCTTCTTTTGACCACACAGAGACGTTACCAAAAGTTGCTGGAAGAAGCACCTTCTCCTGCACCGAGTTGCGAAAAGCCATGAGTGATGCAGCAGTTGCAGCAGCAGCGTCGATTGCTTATATTGGCGTTGGTACGGTGGAGTTTCTTTTAGATGAAAAAGGTTCCTTCTATTTCATGGAAATGAACACTAGAATCCAGGTTGGATAAGTTATCATACTGCAGTCTGCAGAGCATATATATTTTAAAATTTGACTATAGAAGCATTTGAAGGTTAATGAATGGGATTTACTCAGTTGATTTGATTGAAGAACAGATTCGTGTTGCAATGGGAGAGAAACTGCGTTATAAGCAGGTATGTTACACCGCTTGTATGCATACATTTACAACTGTTAGCTACTAACCTTGGTAAATATGAGTGTCCTAAACACCAATAAAATCACAATGTCACTGCCACATGGATAACATGAATAGACAGAGAAGTTGCAGAGATTGATAGAGAAAGAGATTTGATCCAAAAAAAAAATAGAGAGAGAGTGCTTATTTGATAATGAGAAGCTCTAATTTGCGCAGGGAGGTTTCTCTCCTGCACACCTTGTTATCTTACGCCTACTCTACTCGTCTTTTGAATATAATTAACCGTATTACCAAACATCCCATTATTTTATAATTTTTACGTTGAAAGTACTCCCACGTCTTTAATCATTTCTTATCAAGGGTTTAAGCCTTCGTCTACCTCTAAAAGTTTAAAACCCTAATCCTTTCTCCTCCGCCATGTCTCTCTCTCGCTTCCTTACCCGCTCCTCCCTTCTTCACCGTCTCTCTTCCGCCACTCCGATCTCACTCATCCCGAATCGCCTCTACAACATCTCAACTTCCCCCGCAAACGAACCTAACACTGATCCATCTCAATCTCAATCCCAGATCCCTCCCAATCCAATCCCCTCTCCCTCGATCCCTCACCGAACCGCCGCCTTCTCCTTAGCCGAAGAAGCAGCAGCCGAACGCCGCCGCCGCAAACGCCGCCTCCGAATCGAACCCCCACTCCACGCCCTCCGCCGCGACCCTTCATCTCCACCTCCAAAACGCGACCCCAATAATCCGTGTTGGAGGTTTCGACTTTTGTGTAACGTGAACCACTACAAACTTTTTTGGCTCCCACCCTCCGTTCCTAACCCCAAGTTTCCACCTCTCAGCTAGAAGCCTAACCGTGTCTAGTTTATCCTTTTGCATCGGGCAGAAAACATGTACCTTGAGGGCACTTGTGCTTCCTCTGGCTTTCCCAAGTACTAGGAACTTGAACCGCTCTTCAACCGCCAATACCCACTTGGAATCACGCCTATAGATGTCTGAAATTATCTCTGTCATAGAAGAGTTCTCGCTGAAATGTAAAGAGTCAAGATTTGGTGTTGTAATGTCAAACGCATCCTGTAGAACCCTCTTACGCTCCTGCTTAGCACACTCATCATCACACGAAAGCTTTCTCTGCCCGAGAGGGATTCGGTTTCCGCTCAAATCAACAGGCTGAAGAGGCGTTGGATGCTTATGCAAAACAGAGGCTTCATTGACAGAATGAACCTGAAGACTGCTGGCGCTTTCTCCTCCCGCATCACAAGGGACTGTAGCAGTTATGCGACCACACGAGCATGTAATTGTAACCGGAAATTCACATCTTGAGTCAGGGCAAGGCAAAGAAGGATGGCATAGTGCTGCACAAACGTGCATGCAATCTCTTCTAGCAGCACCACACGTCTGTCCACATGTAACACGCGTAACTGCTTCAGATTCATTGTAACTGTCACAAGGCTCTGGATGACAAGTTCTGGCACAAGCATGCAAGCCACAACGTCTCGTCTTTCCACAGATCTTGTTACATCTAATGTCTTTCAACCCACAAGGTATGTTTCTGAGAACCACGTGATCACCAACACATTTCTTTTCCACGGGGGCAGAACAAGGAGGGCAATCTCCAAAATGGCATCCATGCGTAGCAGAGTGGCCACAAGGCTGAGGAATCGAGCATGGAAGCTGGCAGCTAGGAACAGGTGTCCCACATGGTAGTGGTGGAGGAATCGAAGTTCTTCCACAAGCACATGTAAGATCAGTGAATATCATTTCGAGGCAAGGAGGACAATGGCCACTGTGACATGACGATTCACAAGAATGCTGCCCGCACCTTAGGTTCTTCCCACAAGGTAACTGACAGGCGTGTGGGTCCCAAGGGCCAGATAGATCATTCTTCTTCGCGTTCAAAAGAGGGCAGCAACGCTCGCTACATCTGTGCCTCCCACAGTTTTTCTTACGCCCGCATGGCTTAGCGCACACAAACTTCTCCATCTCTGAAGAGGTCGTGAAGTAACATTCCACAGTCCTGGATGTTGACCCACACCGGCATTTCTGGTTGACTTTGACTAAACAAGGAGGGCAATCACCCGAATGGCAAACTTCGTTGCAAGTATGTAGCCCGCACGGAAGCAGCTTCCTGCATGTGTTTGAACATGAAGGAATTGGGTCCAAGCAACTACGCCTGATCTGTTCTTCTAGACGCGTTTTTCCACAATAGCACGTCTTAACTCTACTGGGCAGTAAGTCACAGTCCCCGCAAGGTCCAGGATGACAAACCTCGGAACAGAAATGATTACCACATCCAAGAGGCTTCCCACAGTTAAAATTGCAAGAATACACACCATCGTCTGCTTTCAACTCTCCCTTCACGTTCATCTCTCCGCAAATGACAGTCTCCACTTTTTTCTTGCAGAAACATGTGGCATTTACTTGCACCTGACAAGGATCACAAGAGCCAACGTGACACTTCCTTTCACATCTATGACGCCCACAGTCAAGAAGCTTCTCACAACGCTGCCCACAAACAATAACAGATCTCCGCTCAGAGCATCTAGTATTAATCTTCTTCTTGCCACAGGGACAGCTACGAGATGGAGCAAACGCTTTACAGGGAGGACATGGACCAGGATGACACTGCAAGACGCAGACATGAGGACAAAGATCATCTTTATCCATCTCAGCTACTGCAGCAAACTCTTTCTCCAGCGGCTTCCCACACGGCTCCCCACATGAGTGTGGAGTCAAATATGGATCAGACGGTGGATCTTTTCTCTTCCCACAAAAGCACCGATAACATATCTCTCTCGCTGCCGTCAACTGCACAGATTGGCAACCAGGACACCTCCAATTATCACCTTGATTCTTCTCAGCCAACAAATCAACAGAAGTCGGTGCTCGAGCCCACTTCTTGATACAATGCATATGGAAGATGGAGTAACAGCTTGAGCAAGACCAAATATTCGCAGACCGCCCAACCATGTCATAACAAATCATACACTCAACAGAACTCTTCACCAGCTTATCTTGTATCTCCTGAACAAGCTGAGGCAAGTTCGTGTCCGTCAACACAACGTTCTCCTCCTTAACCACCTTCTTCCCCTGACTCACAGGCCCCCGAGTCCTCGACGCAGTAACTCTTTGGCGATTATCAGGTAAAATTCCCGGAGCATTATTTCTTCTTTGTCGATTATCAGGTAAAATCCCAGGAGCATTATTTCTCCTCTGTCGATTAGATGGAGGAGGTAAAGGACCAACAACATTACTCCTCTGGTGCTGGTTATAAGCAGGACGACGCTGCCGAAGAGGACGTGAAGCAGTAACACTAGCGTCAAGGCTTTGTGGACTTTGGTCTGTATTATCAGCAGGTGGTAAAGAAGACTCATTAACAACGGAGGTAGCTGCACCTCTAGGAACCCATGTTTGCTGCTGAGGTCTGTCTCTTCTGACTTGTGAGCTCATATTCTTCTCTGACTCCACAAACACAGAACCGGATCCTCTACTCTCCGTCGTAACTGTTGATGTAATAAACCTACTGTTCACTTTCTGTACACAGAAGATTCAGATTTGAGCAATTAGTAAACTTTCAAACATTAAAAGCCCGAATAAACAAACACATCTACAATAATTTGAAAAATGAATCAAGTCAAAATTACACAGATCTAAAAATTGAAATCCCGTAATATTATGAGTTACGAATAATCCCTAAAAATCAAAATGCCCTAACTAATCCCTAAAAACCCCACAGCTACTAACGCATAATCTCGATTCAGATAATTGAAGCACACTAATCAACCAAAAGGGGGGAAAAAATACAAATCTCAATCAGATTATTTAAGCAGGACAAAAAAATCAATTACCTGACGAAAAATTACGCAAGGGAAAAAAAAGAACAATTGCCGGAATCAATCAGAGGTGTGATTTCGATTTCTCAGGGGAGAGAGAGAGAGAGAGAGAGAGAGAGAGAAACTGTAGGAGAATATGGAAAGAGCGAGGAGGAAGGAGACGGTATATATATAGAGAAGGAAAGTGAGAGACCGCCTTGGAGCGGAAGGAAATTTTAGAGTGTGAGAAAGCGACTTTTCTTCTTTTATTTTATCTTTCTCTCCCTGTCAACAATGGTCGGAATAATATTTTTTTATTATACTTGACGAACACTCGCGAACCTTAGTTATCTCAAATGGGCCTTAAATGGGCTTTTACTGTTAACCGAAATTTAATTTGCAAGTGGATTTTGGTTAAGGTGTCTAAAGTAAAAGTAATTAACTTGAGAGACAACATGATGATAAAAACATAACAACGTGAGATAGGACTGGTCAAGTAGTGGTCAGGACTCGGAGTCGGTGAAGCTGAGACTCTCAAGGTCTATTGTAGGCAGGGATCATAAAGTCAAAGTGTGAAAGACATCCATTGTTATAATATCTGAAAAACTGTAATTGTTTAACTTGCACTTATGGACCTTTAGAATTATTTACATGTGTAGCTGAATCCTGAAAACGTTTTGTTCTCATATTTATAATATTTTGGCTACAAATATATTTGTCAACAAAGAATGTTTATGCGTTCAAAAAAAAATAAAAAGAATAACAAAGGGTGTTTAGTTGAAAGAAGCTGAAGAAAAGTCTGTAAGAGGATTGATTGCATGTTACAAACACCTTTTTTAAGTTACAAGAGTTTGAAAAGCCAATACACTGGAGGAAATTGAAAATGCATTGCTAAGAACATTTGTATACATACTTTCCCTTGGCCAAAAATTTCTTTGGGATTTTATCAAGTGGTGTTGATTTAAGTAAGAAGAGCCTTGCTGCTCGATCTTGCAAAGTCCCTCCACATTTCATTCCACGTGACTGAAGCTCAATCTTCAATCT